GGGACCAAGCAGAACAGCAGAGAGTTCTCCCACTTTCCCACCGTCAGAGCAGCATTTGTGCCGCTGGTCAACACAGTCTCTATAAACTGGAAATTCAGGCTCTGCTGGGAAACGCTTGGGAGATTGCTGCTCTGAACACAAAATAAATGAAATGTCCTCAAGCATGAGCAGAGCTGGAGCAGGGCCCACTTCTGCTGCCAGCAAGTCCCTTTTCTTCACATTGAACTGGGACTTCAACCTGTTTAGAGGGCAAGAATCGTTTTATTTCAGAGAAAAGCTGTTTGCCAGGTTGCCAACGAGCAACCCAAAATACCACCGAGTAGGTAAGAGATTGCAGGCAGAAAGCATCCCAAATCCAGGACAAATCGCTCTGAGAACTTCCCCTCTAGTTTAACATTCCCCAGCTGTTTAACACTTTCTATTTTCAAATTGCTTGTCAAGCATCAATGATTTTTCCATATCCCTCCCTAATGGTAGAGGTAGCCTCCCATTTTACAGTAGAGAAACTGAGGCGCGGAGGCTAAGCAGCTTTACTCAGTGTTGCTCCAGGGACAGCAATGGCATGAAGCGACTGGCCATCTCACTTGTCCCCACAGCCACATGGTTTCTGACAAAACCATTGCGATGCATCAGCATGCGGCACAGCTCCCTTCTATGATGTCCGGGCCACAGCTTTCAGAGAAGCTCAAGCGTCACTCCCTTACTGCCCCCAAATACTGTTGTGTTTAGACATGGAAGTGTTGTAAGGTAGAAGCATTGCAAGCAGTGGGGTTTTTTTTGCAACACTTTCAGTTGGCTTACACAAGGCATAAACCAGTGTAGTGTCCGAGCTAGAATGGAAACCCCAGAGCTGCTGTCTCGCAATCCCATGCGTAGCCCCCTAGGCCACACTGCCTCTTACATAGAAGGCAACAAAACACTTCAGACCCAAACAGGTCTGCCCATATGGCATGTTTAACCCAGAGGAAATGCCTGCAAAGGGAGGAGGAGTTGCTATTATTCCACAAGCCAGCTGGCAGGTGCTATGCATTAACTTGGCAGCTAAGGCAGGAGAGCACACTGGCTGATGCTAGCCTCACCCTCACCCTGGATTTGCAGATGTACTCCTGAGCTAGGAAGTTTTCAAACCCTTCAGGAGGCAGTCACGTGTGGGCACACATTTCAGCATCTGATCAGAGAAGGAAACCCCAGCAACCAACAGAATTAAACCCACCGGCCCTCTCCTCACCCCTACGGCTGCTTGGAAGCTTTGGAACTGACATCCCAGTATAGCGAGAATCCCAGGAAGAAGCGTTGTTGTGAGACAGAGCTGTTTACCCAGGCAGCAATCAGCAGAGGGTTTGGGAAGTTACCTTAGCTGGCCTGTGCAAGGAGGGGATGGAAGGAGTGTCTCGTGTCATCTGACTTGGCCAACTAGGGAGCAGCACTTCAGTTGCTCCAGCCAGGCCTCCCTGGACTGAAGATTGACAGATCCTTTCCCCTCCATGGGGAATGGGGAACAGACTATATTCCCCACAGACACACACACAGTCATAGCTGAGATGTTGGGCCCCCAAGCATAAAGCAGAGACTCTGGGAGGAGAGGAGCTTCAAGGGCTGGGGGAGAGCAAACTAAACAAAAACAGGCTGAGAGCTGTGTAAGAAGATACCAGATTTCACTCCCTCTTCAGGAGTCCAGAGGCCCATAATAAAAACGTAAGAGCTATGGCTTGCTCTCTTGTCTCCAGCAGACACGATCTGTTCTATCGCAGATGTCTAGGACAAAACATTGCCAGTCCTAGCAAACAAATGCTCATATTCTTCTCTGTGCTGAGACACCATGTTATTCCCCAACACTGATTTCTGACACAGCCTGTTTCTTTTAGACACTAAGTGCTTTTTACATGCCCACAGAAGCTATGCGCTGAAGGAGAGAGAGGATGGGATTGTGGGTTAAGGCAAAGAAACAGGAATCAGGATATATGGGCTCTGTTCTCAGCTCTGTCATATACTGGCTTTGGGCAAGACACTAGCCCTCTCTAAGCCTCAATTTCTCAACTGTAAAATGGGACAAAACTGCCTGTGTTACAGGGAGGTTGGGATGCTAAACTCAGTGTTAGTAAAGGGCTTTGCGATCCCTGGAAGGAAGCCAGAGGTTTTTAAGTCTCAACTCCATACACAATAGGATGACAGCAGATACACTGCAGAATACTATTATACCATAGGGCCCATCCACCACAAAGGCAGGATAAAACACCCACAGACAATGTAACATTACACTGGGACTAAATACCTCCAACATGTCAGGAAGAGTAAGCAAATGAATCCCAACTTTTTATCCTACATCAGGTACAGAAGAGGCTGATAGACATGGGGGGAAGGGATAGCTCAGTGGTTTGAGCATTAGCCTGCTAAACCTGGGGTTATGATATGAGTTCAATCCTTGAGGGGGCCGCTTAGGGATCTGGGGCAAAAATCTGTCTGGGGTTGGTCCTGCTTTGAGCAGGGGGTTGGACTAGATGACCTTCTGAAGTCCCTTCCAACCCATATATTCTATGATTGCATGAAATGGGCTTAAAACCCAATTACCCAAGGCAAGTCAGTTTACTAGTGAGTGACAGGCTTTGCTACAGAAGCTAAGGTTTTGGTCCTTATGACTGCAAAGAAAACCTTCCCAAATATGAATTCCATGTAAATCAATGCAATGCCTATGTTCCCAAGTCTGCAGACAATGCCTCTGCTTCTGCTCATAGCTTTGCCAAGCAACAGCATGAAATTAACAAGAGCAGTTGAGATTAACAATAGCACTGAGAATGCTGTGGCCAGTAGGCAAAACTGACCAGGATCATCAATTCTGGCCTTAGAATCTGTCTCTTTCTCCCAGCACCTGCTAATTTGGAAAGCTAAAAGCAGAGGCAGACACTGGAGCTGCTCCTGGGGGAGAAGGGGAATAATAGTCACACTCCCTCCCCGGCTTGCTGCAGCCCAGAGGCTCTGTGGGATGAGTAGAGGAAACCTCTGCCCTTCCAAGCAGCCAGGAAGCTCACCTATTTGAGGCAGGCGTAGGGGTGCATGTGTGTGTGGGGGTGTGATAGTACAAAAAGAAGAGTCCCAGGACCCTTCCCAGTTGCTATATTATAGTAGCAACCAGGAACCCCCATCAAAGACCAGGATTCCATTGTGCTAAGTGCTGGACAGACAAGTAACTAGGACAACACTCCCTCCCCCACAGAGTTACAATCTAGGTGTCAGGCAGGATGCCACAAGCAAGCAGGATGGGGGGAGTTGGGAGCATGAGGTAACAATAAAACAGAGTATTTACACAAAAGCAGAAGGCAGCTGGGGCTTCCAGTGCAGTAGCTCTAGATCTTTCTGGGGTTAAGATATCCTTTTTTCTACCAGCCCCTGGCTAGTAAGCAACTGGTAAAGTGGCTGGGTGGGGGGCAGTGTTTTGGGGAGGCCTGTACTAGGAGAGAGAGGACTAACCCATTTAGTTTTTGTGGGGGTAGGTGACTGAAGTTTAAGCTGTCCTTGCAAATGGGAAATAACCAGGACATTAGATTTTAGGTCTACCAAACCTGGCAGCATCTCCTTAATCATCCACCTCATTCTTTCAATCACTGTAGTAAGAAGCTACTGCATTCAGGTGAAGTGCTGGCACACCACATCTTCTGTGGTAATAACATCTCAGCTATTACTTAAATGTTTAAAATATAAAAATGCAGAAAGAGAAGCCACTGCCACAAATGTTAGCTGGGTAGAGTCTGAGTTAAAAGACCCCACCCCAGAGGAAAGGGGGATAAGCCTGCCAGACACAGTTCTGCCTCTCAGGGGATCCCCAAAACTGTACATACATCTCAGGTACAGAATTAAACCACAAAGAAAAACAACAAGAGTGAAACAAACATCTGCTAAAGCCATAAAGGGAATAGGGAGAGGCAGAAGAGATACAGAAGGAACAAAATAATAGGATTTGCTACAGCAGATTATTAATGCAACAGCAGCTCTGAATTGCCCTGCTATAGTTAAGGGCCTGTTACAGTTTTGATTATATGCCCCTATGCTCATTGTCAGTGGAGCACAGATTCCTGCAGTACATATACAGGTGCAATCTTTGGAGCCATTGCACTCTACCAAGTCAGTGAATTGTGGCTAACAGATGACTGGGGAGGGTTTTTTTAGAGACATATCATTCAACACCTGCTGCAGCATTCCAAAGATGCACCAAGGTGCAACAAGACTCAGCGCCTCAGATGCTTGACAATCTCACGGGAGCATCAGCAGAGTGACCAGTTTTCAGTCTCACTTTGAAAGTCAGGGAGAAGTTACAATGCTGTTCAGGTGAAAGCACACCGAGGTGTTTAACACAACGTTAAAGGGTTCTCTGTGGGCCTGCAATAGCGCACAGACTAGCCATTAAGATTCTGCCCTTCGCTGACACATGCAGGTAAACCAAGTGCTCGGATATTAAAGATACCTCTCTAAATAACTCCAGGCAAAATGGGTTCCATTATCCCCATTCAGCAGATGGGGAAACAGAGGCACCAACCTAGGAAGTGACTTACCAAAGGTCACATTGACATTTGCCATAATTGACATTCACGTGGCAGGAACCTGCTCTATACAAACTTAATCCCCTCGGCTCCTGGCTGTGCACTGCAGGCAAAGACCAGCCGCCCCCCGCCCCAATACCTATTGTATGCAGAGATTTCTTGAAGGCACTGGCAACTAGTGCTAGAAAACAAGGTGGGAGGGCCAGCTTTAGCACTCCCGGGGCCCAAGACAAGGGGTCCCTCCCTGCAAGAGGGGGAAGGCGAATTGCTGTCCTTGGGGCTCTGCTAGGAGGCAAAGACTAAGGCAGCTTGGGAGCCCCCCCCAACCAGGCAGGCATGGCTGGCATAGGGCAATTCTGGGCACGGCAAGACCATCACCGGCGGCAGGGGGGAAGGGGATCTGTCGGTCGGTCTGTCCCACCCCCGTGGCCGAGGTCTGTCTGTCCGCCCCGGGTCCCGGCCCCGCACCTGGTAGGTGTTGTTGCCCAGGATGGGCTCGAACCCGCGCAGCTCCCCGCAGCCCAGCTCCACCGCCCGCCGCCTCCGCAGCGGCCCGCCGCGGGCTCCCTCCAGCCAGTCGGGTCCCGGCGACAGCAGCAGCAAGATCCCCCACAGCGCAGCCTCCCGCAGCCCCATCGCCTCTAACCAGCCCAGCCCAGCCCCTGCCAGGGCCCGGACCCCGGCTTCGCCGCGCCCCGCCTATAGCCACCCCATTGGGCAGCACGCACCCATCTGCCATTCTCATTGGTTAAAGGAAACGCCAATCTCCGTTCCAGGAAACCAGTCCCGCCCTCCCTGAGAGCTCTTTCCCCGTTCGTGTGGCCGCGCGAGCCACACAATTCTGATTGGCTTCATGAGCTGTCCGTCTCTACCTAGTAAGCACTCGCACCGTCCCCCTAGCAAAGTAACATGGGCCAAACCTGACCAGACCCTTTACCTTCTGATTAGGTTCCTTCCTTGTCAATCATGCATCCCAAGCACCACCTTCTTCCAGAAACGCCTCACTCATTGGCTGACCTCGCATAAAGTGATTGGCTAAACACACCGTTAATCTTATTTCCCCTCAATCCTAATCTACCCCGCGACCGTTCTCTGATTGGCTAGTGGATGCGCAGAGCAGGTTGTTGTTTTTTTAATTGGTTGATTTTAATAGACACTATTTTGCAACCTGGAAATGTTGTGTCTGCAAGTCCCGCTCCCCAGAGCATTTAAAGGCGCAGGGCCCTTAGGAAGCCTGGTCTCTCCGCGCTCCCACCACTACCCCACGCGTACAACCCCTTACACCCTACTCGATCCGGGCCCCATAGCTGAGACCAGAACCCAGGCATCCTGGGTTACAAGCCCCCCCCCCGAGCTCCATGCAGGTTTAGTGGTTTAAGTAGTGGCCTGCTAAACCTAGGGTTGTGAGCTCAAGCCTTGAGGAGGCCATTGAGGGAACTGGGGTAAAAATCTGTTCTGGGGATTAGTCCTGCTTTGAGCAGTGGGTTGGACTAGATGACGTCCCTTCCAACCCTGATATTCTAGGATTCTACATTAATAATAGACTTAGATGGAGCCTGCCAGCAGGGCTAGCTTTATTACCATTCACCTGACCGTGTTTTTCTTACAGCTCCAGCGGAAGTCCAGGTAAATGTGTGAGACTCAATCAAGTAGTTTTAAAAGTTTCTAACCATCCTGGCTATGGACAAAGTTGAAAGCGGGATCCAGAGCATACTCTAAAGGCTTAAAAATCAGAAGGTCCGTTTTTTTTTTAAATGTATTTTTAAAGTCTTTGGTTTAAAAATCACATCTCAAGCTTTTTGAGTGCTTCATGGTAGCAATGCTAGGGGTAGTTGGCCCACTGAGCAGTGCAAAGCCATGGTAAATTGGGCAAGAACAATAGTAACCCCAATTCCAACCCAGGATGGGCTCAAACCCCCAGTGCCACCATGGCATGAGTGGAAAGCAGCTTCTAGTTACAGGTGAGGATTTAGTATGATTAAACAGCTGGCTGCTTGCAAAGGTTGGAAAATATAAATCATCTAGAATCCCAAATTCACATGATGCTTTACGACACATGCCCTTCGCCAGTGGACTTCACCCTCTATAACAAGACAAGACATTGCAGGGATCTTAGGGACGTCTGAGAAGAAATTGCTGGAGAATTAGACTGAAAGGGAAAGAGAGAGGGAGCTTGGTGACTGATCCAGGCTTAGGCACATAGTGTGACAGAGACATGAAGCCAAAAACAGGAGGCAAAAGGATCAGTACAATAAGAAGATGGAGAAAAACAAACCTAGTGAGAAAGGGGACATGAGAGCACAAATGATATGAGGTGCGAGATTGTTTTACTAATGAGTTTGAATTAGATGGAGTAAGAGATGGGGACTCAGTGAAGGGATGCAATATAGCACTTCATAGAAGCAATGTAAAAAGATACTTTTAGTAGGTAGGATGGAAAAGATGTTCAGCTTCTCTGCCTCCTCCATCAGTGAATGGACCTGCACGTTTAACTGGTTTCTCTTCAATGCTTTATAAGCCCTCTTCTGGCATAAACATCCTGAAATGTTTTTCATTCTGGGCTATAATTATGCCCTTACAAATCCACATTTAAAATATTATGCAAGGTAGTTGGACCATGGCCACACACATACGCAGTCTCAGAATCCTAGCAAGGAGACCAAACCCCAGCTCCCACAGTGCAGTGCTGCTGTTTGAAGAGTGCAGCTCCACCCCCGCACAGTGAAACTTTAAGTGCTTTTTGATGGTAAAGAGCAGTTTTGTAACAAATTAAGCTCCAACTCCATGGCAGGGGTCATGGGGAAAGTAAGACCATTCAGAAACCACCACTGGAATCAAAGAGATAAAAGCTCCCCCTTCAGCCCAAGGCAGGTATGGAGTTTGCGCCTTCCCTTAATCTGAATATCTGTAAAGGAGAAAGCTCCTAACCCAACTGTATAACACTCACCATCTTGAAAGCTTTACTGTGACTATGCCTCATAACTATGCGGAAGCGAGATAGCTTATCTCACTTTGGCAGATATGTAGAAGACAGGTTAAGTGACTTTGCTTTGCCCAAAGCCACAGATTAAGTCAGCGGGCAAATAGATTAAAAAATCAGAAGTTTTTGACTCATTTTGTTCTCATTCCATGCTCCCTAGCAAATGAGAGGGGGACTGCAGGCAAGAAAAGAGCTTAATTTTATATCAGTCTCATCCCCTCCACAGATGCTATTTTTCCATGCATTCATTTGGATTTCATGTTTGAAAAATATAAGGACAAATATCTGACATTTCTACAACTGCCTAACAGGCATTGCATATCACCTGAGTAGTACTGTAGGAAGGCATCAAAAAGAGCCCAGATGAAACTCATTTGAGTGGGATGTGGCAAGAGAGCAAAATCTATTATTCCAAGATGCCCTACTTGTATTTGACTTGTTGGCTGACTTGCAACAACTTCAAGTGTTTCTCCCTAGAACTGAGGGATCAGAGATCAGAACACAAAGCCTTGATTTAGTTAGAATACCATGGCAGGATTACATGATAGTTGGTACCAGTAAACAGGTGATTAGGATAGGATATAAAGGACATTTCTTTGTTTTGAGTCTCACCCAGGGAAGATGTGTTTATTGTATTTTGTTTCCTAGAAAAGGAAAGTCAAAGGAACAGCACCATCTCCTGGAACAGCAGGATTCTTCTGGTCAGGTACCATGACTAATTGTACAACAGCTGAGAACCAGAGAAGAATGGTGCTATAAAGGCAATGTGCTGTTGTGCATCATATTAATCCAAGCCATAGAAACACTAGCATTGACCTCCAGATATCTGAATCCCACATTTCTTTTTAATGGGCAAGTTTCAGTGGCACTGACCTTTGAGATTATAGGTCTGCCAACAAGGCCCATGAGGAATATGCACGGAGGCAGAGTGGGATCGGGAGTCAAAAGACCTAGATTCTATTCCTGGCTCTGCCACTGGCTGTGAGCTGGGGAAAGTCACTTCACTTCTGTACCTCATTTTCCCCATCTGTAAAATGGAGCTGAGACTTACTTTTCATCCGTAGATTTTAGTAAGCGTCAGGGATTATAATAGTCAGGTCAATGAAGCACATACCTTGTGATGGCATATAAGGGCAACTAGTGTGGTATAAGTAGTCATTGGCCAATCACTATGCTTATGGTAGATGAGGCTTTTCAGCTCAGCTCGGCAGCTCACCTAGGAGAAAGACAACTCTGAATACAAATCTTGCACGCACGACAGCTGTCATGCTTGTGGCATTTATTGCACCAGCGCAGCAACAGCTGCTTGGGTGAGCGTGGGAAAGGCTCTGCGCAAGCCTCTCTCACTTAAACCCATTCATAGTGCTGGTTGTTCAGCCAAACTCATTCAAATGCTGTGGTGATGGGGACAGGCAGAGGATGCTGCTGGCAGTCCTTAATCACAACTCTGCACACAGGTGGCCTTACGGCAATGGTTGTTCTCCACAGACTAGGGCAGGAGGATATGAGCTCCATATCTGAGGTGACAGAGCAGGCCTTTTTGGAGACTTTAATGCTCGTGTGGGAGCCAGTTCTGACATGGGGAATAGAGTGCTAGGCCATCACAGCAGTGGAAGGTCAAACTCCAGCAGCCAACTACTTCTCCCCAAGTGTGCCGAGCTCAATCTCACCATTACCAACTAGGGTGACCAGATCACCCAAGTCAAATATCGGGACGCGGGGGGGGAGGGGCAAAAACAAAACAAAAAAACCCTTCCTGCGCAAGCGCTGGAGGGAGGCCTGGGAGACTCAGGGGAAGCGCAGGGCCAGGGTGAGTAAGAGTCCAGCCTGGTCCCGAGCAGGCAGGACTCAGTTGGGTGGTAGGGAGAGGAGGGGGCGGCCCGCGGTGCCAGGCGGCGGCTGTTCTCCCCCCCCGGGCAGCGGGACTTGGG